GCCCACATTTAAATAAGCAGGAAAAACAAGACACTATCATTAGTCAAAACCAAAAAGACATATAATGAAAAAATACCGAGTGGATATTTTATAACCATTCAACTTTTAGAGCTTTTAAAAAAGATATGTTTAGTATATTTAAATACAGTTCACAAACATCTTTCCCCCCAAATTTAGCATATCTGCAATTAATTCACAGCTTTCTGAATTTTCTCAACTATATGAGAATGACAACTACCTCTCAGGACTACTGTTTTGATTAAATGAGATTACACACATAAACTTCATAGAGCTTTTAGGGGGAAAAAACACCAGAAAACGCTTAGAGGCTAAAGAATAGAGCTATTATCAATAACCATAAAATAGACATCTTTAAGTGAGGCCTCAGGCTTAAACATTATTTTTCTAAACACCATGAAATGTATGAGAAGAGCATTCAGAACATTAGCAAAAAGAACCAGAATATTACTATCTTAAAATTAAGTACTGAGGGAAAAAAGAAATGCCGTACAGCAACGTCATTCTCTCCTTCCCTAAGGAAAATCAAGCAACTTTTGTCTTTCTGATTCTGTGTTAAGGAAGATACAAGCAAAGAAGTATTTTAAATGACTAAATATCAGAAAAAATCTACATCAAATTTACAGTAAGACAAAAGTAGACAAATTTTTGTTTACAAAGGAGTATGTTCTAATGTAATGCTTAATTGAAAATTATCAATTACTGTATACCTGTTTCCATTCTAATTGTGATGGGGAGAATTCAAATGCTGTAAAAATTGATTTATATTTGATTCCTGTATCTCTTATTACCCCTTCATGGATTACAGCCTAGCCATGGCGAAGGGGATTGGGTAACTCAATAAAAGCTCTGAGCCATGCCCTACAGGGTTACCCAAGACTGATAAGTCATAGTGAAGAGTTCTAACGAAACGAGGAACAGCAAATCACTGCAGTTCTCGCCAGGAGAACCCCACGAATAGTATGAAAAGGCAAAATGCTACGACACTGGGAGACGAGCCCCCATGTCAAGAAGGCGTCCAGCATGCTACTGGAGAAGAGCTCCAGGAAGAATGAAGCAGCTGCGCCAAAGCGAAAAACCACCCTCCGCTGTGGATGTGTCTGGTGGTGAAAATAACGTCTGATGCTGTAAAAAAAAATACTGCATAGGAAACAGGAATGTTAGGTCCACGAATCAAGGTAAACTGCAAGTGGTCAAACAGGAGATGGCCAAGAGTGAACACTGACATTTTATGAATCAGTGAACCAAAACTGATGGCAATGGCTGAGTTTAATTCAGATGACCACTGTATCTACTACTGTGGGCAAGAATCCCATAGAAGAAATGAAGTAGCCCTCATAGTCAACAAAAGAATCAAAATGTAGCATTTGGGTAAAATCTTAATAACAAGAGAATCAACTCCATTCATCTCCAAGGCAAACCATTCAATGTCACAGCATGTCTATGTGCCAACCACTAATACCGAAGAAGTTGAAGATAACTGGTTAATTTAGAACACCTTCTAGAAATACTGTTAAAAAGAAAAAGTACTTTTCATCATAGGGTGTTGGAAAGCAAAAGTAAAAAGTCAAGAGATACTCACAATAACAGGCAAGTGTGGACTCAAGAGTACAAAATGAAGCAGGGCAAAGGCGAACAAGAGTTTTGTCAAGAGAACACGCTGGTCATAGGCAACATTTCAACAACCCAAGAAATACCTCTATATATGAACATTATCAGATGGTCAATACCAAAATCAGAGTGATTATATTATTTGTAGTCCAAGATGGAGAAGCTCTACACAGTCAGCAAAAACAAGACCTGGAGCTGACTATGGCTCAGATCATGAGCTCCTCATTGCAAAATTCAGGCTTACATGGAAGAAAGTAGGGAAAAGCACTAGACCATTCAGATATGACCTAAATCAAATTCCTTATGATTATACAGGGAAGTGACAAATAGTTAATGGGTTAGATCTCACAGACAAGGGTGCCTAAAGAACTATGGATGGAGGTGTAACACTGTATAGGATGCAGTGATCAAAACCATACCCAAGAAAAAGAAACGCAAGAAGGCAAAGTGGTTATCTGAGGAAGCTTTACAAATAGCTGAGGAAAGAAGAGAAGTAAAACGCAAGGGAGAAAGGTAAAGGTATGCCAAACTGAGCACAGAGTTCCAGAGAACAGCAAGTGGAGATAAGAAGGCCTTCTTAGATGGGCACGATGAAGGACAGAAATGATTAAGGACCTAACAGAAGCAGAAGAGATTAAAAGGAGGCAACAACACACAGAAAAACTATACATATATATAAAAGGTCTTATTGACCCAGGTAACTATGATGATTTAAAAAAATCTAGATGTTCTAGGTGGTCACTCACCTAGAGCCAGATATCCTGGAGTGTGAAATCAAGTGGGTTTTAAGACACATTACTACAACAAAGCTAGTGGAGGTGACAGAATTCCAACTGAGTTATTTAAAACCCTAAAAGATGATGCTGTTCAATACCACACTCAACATGCCGGCAAATTTGGAAAACTCAGCAGTGACCACAGTTCTGGAAAAGGTCAATTTTCATTCCAATCCCAAATAAAGACAACACCAAAGAATATTCAGACCAACGAACAATTGCACTCATTTCACATGCCCGCAAGGTAATGCTTAAACCCCTTCAAGTTAAGCATCAGCAGTACATGAACCAAGTATCTCCAGATGTACAAGCTGGGTTTAAAAAAGGCAGAGGAACCACAGATCAAATTGCGAAGGTTCACTGGTCATGAAGAAAGCAAAGAAATTCTGGAAAAATATCTACTTCTGTTTCATGTGCTGCTCGTGCTAAGTTGCTTCAGTCATGTCCGACTCTTTGCGACCCCATGGACGGTAACCTGTCAGACTCCTCTGTCCATGAGATTCTGCAGGCATGCATACTGGAGTGGGTTACAATTTCCTTCTCCAACTTTTGTTTCACTGACTTAGACTGTAGGGACCACAGCAAACTGTGGGAAATTCTTAAAAGAGATGGGAATAGAGACCACCTTACCTGTCTCCTGAGAACCTATATGTAGGTCAAGAAGCAACAATTAGACATGGAACAACGGACTGGTTCCATACTGGGAAAGGACAACAAGGCTGTATATTGTCGCCCTGCTTATTTAACTTATATGCAGAGTACATCATGCGAAATGCCAGACTGGATGAATCTCAAGCTAGAATCAAGATTGCTGGGAGTAATACCAACAACCTCAGATACGCAGATGACTCCACTCTTAACGGCAGAATGTAAAGAGGAACTAAAGAGCCTCTTGACAACAGTGAAAGAGGAGAGTGAAAAAGCTGGCTTAAAACTCAACATTCAAAAAACTAAGATCATGGCATCTGGTTCCATCACTTCATGGCCAACAGAAAGGGAAAAAGTGGGAACAGTGACAGACTACTTTCTTGGGCTTCAAAATCACTGCACATGGTGACTGCAGCCATGAAATTAAGACGCTTGGTTCCTTGGAAGGAAAGCTATGACAAACCTAGACAGTGTATTAAAAAGCAGACATCACATTGCCAACAAAGGTCGGCAGAGTCACAGCTATGGTGTTTCCAGTAGTCATGTACAGATGTTAGACTTGGATCATTAAGAAGGCTGAGCCTGAAGAATTGATGTTTTCAAATTGTGGTGCTGGAGAAAATTCTTGAGAATCCCTTAGACTGCAAGGAGTTCTAGCTAGTCACTTCTAAAGGAAATCAATCCTGAATATTCATTGGAAGGAGTGATGCTGAAGCTTAAGCTCCAATACTTTCGCCACCTAACGCGAAAAGCCAACTGACTGGAAAGGACCCTGATGCTAGGAAAGATTGAGGACAAAAGGAGAAGGGGACAGCAGAGGATGAGATGGTCAGATAGGGTCACTGATTCAGTGCAGGGAGCCGGCCTGAACGTACAGGCCCCTTACGGCCCTAAGAGAGAACAAAGGGTCTCTCTTTGTCCTGCCACCCCTTCTTGTTAAAGTATAGACTGGCATTTATCCCCTTCAGGGAAAAAACACCCCGGTGACCTTTCGCCTGTTTTCCTGGTGCTGATAAACTCGTCGTGCTTGAAGCCTGTTTTCTATCTAGTTAATGTTCTATTGATCTTAGTCATGTTGGGCGCTAGGGTGATGCTTTACTGATCTTAAGTGGAGGAATTTAAAACATCTGTGCCTGTAGCTCTGCACATATGCAAACCTTTGATCTATTAGTAACTCCTGTTAGCATATATATAGGTGTGGTATTCTTCAATAAAGTTGGCAGAGTCAGACGCAAGCTGACTCTGTCCCTCTCAACCCCATCTTTCTAAGTCTTTCTGAGTCTTATTTTTCTTAGGTACTCTGGTAATTGCGTTCTCGACCAGTTCGTTTGCCGGCAGGCTCCGGCAATTCAGTGGACATGAATTTGAGTAAACTCAGAGAGAGTGGAGGACAGGGGAACCTGACGAGTTGCAGTCCATGGGGTTGCAAAGAGCTGAACATAATTTACTGACTGAACAACAACAATCTCTCATTAAGTCCCAGGAATATTATTTTTTAAAATAAATCATTCAAATAATTTTTCACTCTTTGCCACAGAAAAGAAAGGAAAAGGGTTCAACTGAGTAGATGATCTCTAAAACAGAATAAGGATTAGTCCTTCCTGGTGGTCCAGTGGTTAAGAATCTGCCTGCCAGTGCAGGGGACATAGCTTTGATCCCTGATCAGGGAAAATTCCACATGCCTTGGGACAACTAAGCTGGTGCATCTCAACTACTGAGTCAGTGCTATACCACCCATGCTCTGTAACAAGAGAAGCCACCACAAGAAGAAGCCCCTGGACCACAACTAGAGAGGAGCCCTCACACGCCGCAAGCAGAAAAAGTACATGCACAACAAAGACGACTCAGCACAGCCAAGAGTAAATAATAAATAACATTTAAAATACAAAGAATCAATGTAGCAAGTAAACAATTATAAGGAAATAAATATATTCCAATGGTACTTACTGCGCCAGAAGCTGTACCTAAAAAAAAAATAAGGGAAGAGTATTACAATATGATAAATCATGCTGTCCTTAAGTTTTAAAATATTTATTCACACTACTTTTTCTCCTCATACCATGACACTAAGTATCCTAAGACTGTCCCATATGACTTATGTGCTTGCTCTCTTTCCCACAAAAACAAAACATCCATAGTGCAAAGCACTTTCAGAATTAAGTTGGCACTTTGAACTTTCAATCTACAAACTCACTTGACAGCCGTTAGAGAAGCTAACAGCTTGCCTTTTGTTTCTCCTCTTTCTATTATTATAGCTGTCCCATCTTGACTAATTCCTATTTCTTTGCTATACTGCTGATAGTAATGAATGTGTATAGTAATATATAGTAATGAGTGTTTCAGACCTCTGATACTATTCTTTAAAGTGAAAGCCACTCAGTCGTGTCTGATTCTCTGTGACTCCATGGACTGTAGCTGCCAGACTCCTCTGTCCATGGAATTCTCCAGGCCAGAATACTGGAGTGGGTAGCTGTTTCCTTCTCCAGGGTATCTTCCCAACCCAGGGATCAAACCCAGGTCTCCTGCATTGCAGGCAGATTCTTTACTGCCTGAGCCACCAGGGAAGCCCTCTATGCTTTAGGTTTATGACAATTTCAATTATCTAGGTTCCAAAACACATGCTATATAATACTGGATCCTTTGGCCATCACATATCCCTGTTTAAATTAGATTAAGTAAAATTTTAACGCTCAGTTCCTCCTGTGCACTAGCCACATTTCAATACTCAGTAATTACATGTGGCTATACATGACACTACAGATTACAGAACTCCTTCCTTGCAGAAAGTTCTATTAGATGGTACTATCTTAAACTACTACCAAAGCCCTCTTAAGACATAAAAGGAAATCCACATTAGTTACAAAGTTCATATAAATAATCATTATATGAACAAGTAGCTTAAAACAAGTAGCTTAAAATTATATGTAAAAAAACAATGACTGTAAAAAGAAAACAAAGCTAAGTACATAGATACTAAACAGCAATCAAAAGCAGCTAGTATGAAATATCAGTAAGAGAGCCAGAGCATTTAAAAACTAAAAAGAAAATGTAAAGGTAATTTTCCAGGATTATTTACGGTAATAGTAACCAGCTTGATACCTAAATAGACCTAAAATACTATTCTAAAGTGTATCAGAATATTGTGACAGCTTAAATGATGAAATCCATGAAACATCTTAAAAAGATTAACTATGACCCATATAAACCCACATACTGCATTTTAAACGTGTTTCAACTGATAATGTTTAAAAGAAAAAATGTTTTGGCAGAATCATGGGACAAAGTACACCATCTAGAATACATGAAACATTACTTGTATATAATTGAAGCATTATTATTATACATTAAAGTCATACTATTATTTATAACACTTATAGGTAACCTGCTGGAAAAAAAAATATGCATTATCAGAGGACTTTCAAACTACACAGACCAAGCAGGTATCAAAAAAATGACTGAAGTAGTCCAGAAGGCTGAGAGTGCATATTTGATATCTGAACTATGGAGTCCCTATCCCATTCCACAAGATTTGCTGAATATAAATATGGACTCAACCAAAATTTTTCATTCAAATATTCTTTGAGTATCTACTGTACTGAGAAGGACCACTATATATATTAAAAGTACAGATCATCCAACTTTAAAATAAATTCAATCTTTGTGTCAAATGATAAATTCAACTTTATATAAGCCTGCAGATTTTAATGTTAGCAACTAATTATAAAATTTAAAAACACTGTCTGAGCCAAAGTATATCCTGTAGACCAAATCTGGCCCCAGAATTCCATACCTAAAATTATGACAATTTCTTATGGATTTAATTATGAATGCTATTTAAAAAAAAACAAAAACTGGGAGCTGATTATAATGCCCAAGAGACACTGTTTTATTCCTCATTCGAGGACAGTTGTGACTGTCTATATTAAGTCTAGTTTATCACCATAAATGGTATACATACCTGCTGCTACATCCATATTATTTACTCCTGGCTGTAAGAATAAAAAATGAAATTAGTAACATTTACTTTGCGCAAGCTATATTTTATATACAATCCTCATAAAGCATAGTCAATCAACCCCTTCTCTAAGTTTGGCATTAAAACTCATCACAGTGGCCAAAGCTATCCTGAGTAACAGGAATTCTTTAGTGTTATTTATCCCACATCAGAATAAACATCTCTATGTTCTGATTTAGAAATATGTGTTAGAAATTAAAGGGCACTGGCCAAGACCCTGTGGGAAATTTTTACATAATTATTATATACTATATGCAGTGTACTACTTTGTAATATTAAAAACAAACTTTGAAATGTATCTGCCCCTAGGGGTTTTGGAGAAGTCACCGCAAACCTACTATCCCAGTGGAGTATGCCACATCTGTTCATTAAAACTAACCAATAAATAAGTCACACTAATTTTAATATCATAATGATTTCTATATTGCTATACTATCTAACAGTCTAATAGGGTGATAAGATTATTCAAGAATTTTCTAAGTAATGTGCCATAGTTGAAGTCTCATGAATTGTGGATTTCAAATGAAATCTGATTTCTAAATTTAGGATCCAGTATTAAATCACATCACATCAACTTTTAATCAGCGCTCAGTAGAGCATATGTCTACTGTTTAAGATTAGAATGCTACTAGAGCAATTAAATGCTTCTAGCTAACAATTCATGCTTTTCAGAATTCTAGACTTGCTTAATGTAGAATAACTAAGGATGTATATCTATTATAAATAACTTAAAAAGTCCTTGTAATTCCCATCTTATAGTACTCGGGAGGCTCTTAAATGACTAACATGAATGCCTGCAAAATATATATGCTGTTTCATACACAAAAGAAATCAAAACATCACACAAAAAGTTATTTTCACAAGATTACCGGTAAGGCAGGCTGCATGGAAGCCTGAGACATATGAGACATCATCATTCCAGGCATTACTGAAGACATCATTCCAGGCATCTAGAACAAAAGTAAAAAAAAGTTACTATGTAAAACCAAAGCACCTAATAAGATTTCAAGAATTTGGTTATTAAAGCAACTGTGTACAATTTAAGATTAAAACCCAATGAATACTATACTAGATGAATAGCATGCTTAGTAAGTGCTTGTTGAATGAATGAAGTTATTTTATTAATGATCTGTGTGTGTGTCATCATAATTACTTTAACAAGTACATTTAAAAGTTGAGATTATGTGGTATTTGTAACCTAAAATTTAAGAATATTCATTTCCTTTTAACTCAAAACCAACGCTTTTTACCCTTCTTTGGAGCAGGCAAAAGTTTTTTTTCAGCGTTTCTCACCTTTGTTTTTTAATATCTGTATTAAATAATTTTCATATTCATCTGGTCTTTTTAAAAAAAACCTCTTAAGTCAAAGGTGCTTGTAACTTGTGGACTTTAAACAAATACATAAGCAATAGACTTTTCAAACTCAAATCTATGCTCACATCTATAAAGAAAAACTTAAAGCATATACACATATGCATATCTGAAAAAAGAAAGTATTAGCTTGATAGCTTAATCTCATCTACCAATGACTGTCATCCAAACCTATGAATAAATCTTCACTACTATGAATAAAAATCACAAAAACTGACACAAATTTCCAAAGGATTTGTCAGATATTTAGTACAATCTCACATCATAATTTTAATATGAACAAATCTAAGGAAAACATGGAGAGAGATAAAATTATATAAAACAATCACAGGTACTAGAACAAGGTAACCAGTTATTCAGCAGTTTCAAACTAAATGAACAACCTAAAAAACAGGAACAAAAAAGAAGCATATTGGTTCACAGGAACATATAAAGCCTACTGAAAGTAGAGGAGAACACTCAAACACCGATGTTTATTACTTGTGAAAGTCAGTCAACTCATGATGCAAAACCAGGCTAAGTATCATTAAAATGAAGTTGCATGGTATTTATGGATGAAAAAAATTAACAAAAAAAGCCCTTTCTTCTTCAAAACATTCAATAAATAGTTTAAACATCACTAAACAAGAACTTGACAGAAAACATGTGACTAGAATTTGAAATATAGGTCAAATAATGTTTTCTTTTTTAAAGTACAGAATTTCAAAACAAATTATTGACGAGCCTCTACAACCCCATGACTAACAGAATTAGGCTTTTTCTCCTTCTTCCTTCAACAGATATATCCTCACAATTAATTCTGCTCTAGGCTAACAGCAAAGTATGTTTGAATTCTTAAAGAACTAAGTAACAAATTATGAGGGGAAGCATAGTGGGGAACAGAGAGAAATGGCCTGCTATTAAAATGGTCTGTATATAAAATTAGAAGCTAGTAACACATCACCAAACTAGGATTCTAAGCCAAACAGAAAAACCAAAGTCTTTTCTCTTAAGAATTAAAGACACTGAAGGGAAAAGATAAATTGGGAATATGAGATGAACAGATGCACACTATCATATATAAAATGAACAGCAAGGACTTACTGTACAGTCCAGAGAACTATATTCAACATCTTGTAATAAACTATAATGAAAAATAAAAAAAAGAATATACATATATATATATGTTTAACCAAATCACTGCACTGTACACCTGAACTAATATAATACTGTAAATCAGCTAGACTTCAATTAAAAGAAAAATAAATTCCACATTAATACCAAAATTGTAGCTACAAAGACTTTTGTGGCAACATGTAAAATGCTTATGACTGGGAAAAAGTGATAATCAAAATAGTACATACACTATGATTAAAATTTTGAAACACAGATGTATATACCATAAAATCTGGAATAAAATTTACCAGAAATGATAATATGGGTTATTTATTTCTCATTCTACTTTTCAAACCTTCTGGAGTGATGTCTTTAAAACTAAACAACCAAACTGAAAGAATTCTGTCCTAATTTTACTTCTTAAAAAAAGGATTAAAGACATTTTAAAAGTGGGGTAAAATCTCCATCATGCAATAGAGTATTTCCACATGACGGAAGTACAGATGACTGTACAAATAAATTAAACTGCAAACTGAAATACTCTACTTCAGTAAGACCGCGTGATCAAAGCCCATCTTAAAACAAAGCACAAAAGGGCTTACATATAACAAAAATTTTACTAGACCAGGTCAATGAGATAGCAAAGAATATCTGAAGAGAATTTGACAGAGTTCTCTCAACTGTTCTTCTTCCCACACTTCAGATTTTAAAACATCTCAAAAATTTGCCTTTATAGATTAGTACTCGTGCTACTGATTACATGATGAAATTTAATGTCAAAAAGTTAAATTCTCCCTCTGAATCTCTGTATATTTTGAAGGGTAGCAACCAGTTAAAAGTTTGTTCATCCTAACAAACACTGGTAAGATTCTTAAATTATGTACAACTGAGTATCAGGCAAGAACACTGGACTGGGTTGCCATTTCCTTCTCCAGGGAATCTCCCCCGACTCTGGCATCCAACTTGCATCTCTCCTGCATTGGCAGGCGGGTTCTTTATCACTAGCACCACCTGGGAAGCCCTCTAAAAGTAAACAAATCTTTAGTTTAATTCTAAACCTAAACTGTTATGTTATTAACATGAAACCAAGGGACAAAAACATAAATACGCAAAGTACTGTTTCTCATGAAAAACTATTACAAGAATCTGATAAAATTAAGAGCTCCTACAGAGACTTGCACATCATAGAAAAGCTTGTTTCTCAAAGTCTGAAAAATCTATTTTGCAGAACTGCTACGACTTCCACTCTGCATTAATTCTAAGATACACCTAATATGGAGGTGCACGTGTCAACCTGCCTGACTGAAGCTGAATTCCTTTGGAGGATTGTGTTGACTGACGCCAGTCACTTGGCATCATCATCAATCTGAGACCATTAAATTTTTCTAAGTTATTTATTTGTTTTAACACCACAATGGTAATGGGAATCTAGGCTGCAAGCTTATGACAGAACTGGCTTGTGGTTTAAATCCTCAGAAGTGACTTTTTTGCCTTATGGCAACCCACTCCAGTACTCTTGCCTAGAAAATCCCATGGACGGAGGAGCCTAGTGCAGGCTAATGTCCATGGGGTCACAAAGAGTTGGACACGACTGAGCGATTTCACTTCACTTTTGCCCAATTAGCAAAGTCGAGACATCTGAGTTGCTCTGTGGTCCCTTTTTACACGGCAGACTGTCTCTTGCTTCACAGGCAGGGAACAGCCCTTTGGCATCCCGACTGTATCCAGACTTCTCATTTAAGCTCATTTTCTCTCACTCAGGGCATGTAATATTCTGTTGGCCAAAGAGTTTGGCTTTTTCCAAAAATCCGAACAAACTCTTTGGCCAATACAATATAATGGAATTTCTCATCAATAATGAGATCTTAAGTTCAACAAAGACAGGATATTCATTCAAAATGGTTAAAGGGAACAATTCTTGCACAGTTGCTACAATAATGCCACAACAAATTCCATAAGGCAGATCCTCTTAAAGCTTCAAAGTGGTAGCTTACACTAAGCTTGCTGAGAAGCACACTAAAAAATGACAAATGACCCTGTAGAGCTTTACAGATTTCTACGTACGCTACTTTAGCAAATATATGAAGTGCTACAGTTAAGAATTTTTAGTTGTTAGGAGACAAAGAAAGAATGAGAAGGGTGAAAGGCATACGTGAGATATAAACTAAATTGCCTAAAATATTAAGCATCTAAATATAATGGACACTTTGGCACCTTTAAAAAAATAACTCATACACAACTTGATATGCTTTTTCAAAGTAGGCAGGCAATGATTTGAGTGATATGTTTCTCTTTTTTTAATGATAAAAGTTAAATCAAGAAAATCTCTTGAAAATTCTAAGAATCATCCATTTGCAGAAAATAAAAAAATGAGTAAAAACTAGGGAGCACCACACAATCCACTCAGTCATTCTTAGCATCCTAGTTTAGAAAATTTCTCATGTTAGACAAAAAAAAGCATGACTCATTGATCACTCTAGATATTTTAATTTTTAAAAAAATTTCAGTAATAAAAGCAATCCTGTTAATGCTATAGCAAATTAGTTACACAAAATGTAAATTAGCCCAATTTTATTATGATATGAAAACAAAAGTGCACATCTTCACATTGGCACCTCAAAATTTCTTTTCTTCATAATTATTTCCTGAAGTGTCTCCTGTTGGAAAGAAATCACACAACCTAACTTATTTTTTGTCTAAATATTAACTCTTGAATTTGGTTGGCTTTTAAAAGACCACTCTCCCTCCCCTTGTAGCTGTAAACTGATTACTTAGATAGTTTGAGTCTCGCCTTTACATTTGGTTCCTTTTAAATGTGCTAAAGTTAATTCCACAACACACTCTACAGAGCCTAGTAAGTATAGTATTTAAAGACAACTATTTCCTATACCACTAACTTATCTTATATATAAATATATGAATGCAAAATATTAAGTTTTGAATAAATGTGACAACTACATCTTTGAATGTAACTAAATGTTCATTCAATTGGAAATAAATAGAAACACCTGTTTAAAGCATATTCTTAACAACCCAAAATGAGTGGCTGCATTCCGGGACAATCATTTACTTCCTCTTCATCTACAGTTATAAATAAACTCCAGACATCTGTCACTTTCTGATATAACATTTAAACAAAAAAATAGATAATATTTGCAAAACCACTTCAACATGGAGTAAAACCTTCCATTTAATAAGTCAACTTCCAGTAGTCATTATCAGTTTGCTAAATTCTTTTAACCTGAAGACTTTAGAATCACTGAAGTAAAACACTATTCCTTCAAATTCTAAGGTGTAATGTAATGGCAATCTCATACAGAAATACAAGGAAGCAGCCTAGTACATCTATTAAATATACTCTGGAATCAGATTGCCAGAATTCCTACCCCAGTTGTGTAACCCTGGGCAACTTTCCTTAACCCTCAATTTCCTCACCCACAATACGAGGAAAAATAGTACTCATCTGATAGGATTGTTGTAGGAA